GGGGGGGGGGGGGGGGAGAAGGGAACGTAAATGGAAGTTTATAACTTCATGGGGATACGTCATAGGGATAGTCCTACTTTTTTTTTTTTTCTTTCCTCTCCGCATGATAAGAATCCAGAAAATGGAAGTTGCATTGTGATTCGTGGGACGTTAGATATTTCCAGACGGCTACGGAGATTCATGTTAAAGCTATGGATTACCCATTATATACGATTTTCACGCGTATATCGTCGTTCTCGGTTGTTTGCGTTGGCATCCTTGTTTTCGGCACTTTTGGTCCTTTTCCTGAAACAATTTTTTTTTCTTTAGTGCAAAATTACACCTGTTACCCCATAGATACAGTGATCCACTCGTCATTGATCTGATACAATACACGAGTCATGTGGCTGATTAGTTCATCTCTGAAAACAGCCAATGGAGACTCGAGGTTAATTGCTAAAATTTATATTTCGAGGCAGCCATTGAATATTCTTCGTTACGCATATTAATGGCATTAAGAGAAATTAGATTTATATAAATACTCGGACACCAGTACGATATTTAATACGCGATCGTTTTATTACAAAGGGATGGATTGGTCAATTAATTAATTGTTAATGAAATGAGACGTTTGATTATTCGGTAAAACGATTCAGGTATTTAGTCGATTAACAGATAGACTATGAAATTTTGTGATTTTGACATTTTAAAAAATTTGCGAAAAATCAAGCAAAGAAAGGTAGGGATGTTTTTCTCTTGAAATGTCCCGGTTGGTCGTGGATTTTAACAGGGCGAGGCAGAAGCAGGACTACAGGAAGGAAGCTCGTTAATCTTACCGTTTAAGCACACTTTACGAACGTTACCAACGACAAGTAAAGCACAGCCGAATACAATTGGGCCATTAATGCGGCTCTTTCTTTGCAACGGGACGCGGGACGAACGACGAGAGGAAGAAAAGCCGAACGTTACGCGAGAGAAGCCGAATCGAGGAAAAGGGGAAACCGAAGGGAGAAGGTATGGTAAAGCTAGTAGGATAAAGTGAGAGTGAGAGACCAAGTAAAATCGAACAGTGGGGGATGCAAGGTATGGAGGACATTAAAAAAAGAAAAAAAACGAAAAGAGAAAGAAGATCATCTACTCACCCTTAAAGACCCTGCGAAGGGACATTTCAAGAGAGAAATTCAAATTAAAAAGGAAAATGTCATTCCTGCGCGATTTACTCAGCAACAAGAGAAACTCCTCGTTCGTACTGACGTCTTTATTCTTTTCATCTTGCGAACGATCCTCCATGTCCTTTTATTTATCTTTCATTTTCTTATGTACACCCCGATAAATTACTCCTTCCCATTAACACGACGAAGGCATCGATCGATCAATCGACACCTCAGCTATTCGTTACACTTGGCAAGGATACCGATACCCGATTTGTTTTACACGATCGTATTCGACACGCGTTGTTAGTTACTGTTAGAGACGTAATAAGTCACAGGATGTCTCGAATGTCTTCACTCATGTTCACGTGGAGAATCGGTGCGTATTTTTCAGATGCGAATAACTGTTTTAGTTTTGATGAAATACAAAAGAAAAAAAAACGTAATTTAAAATTCCAAAGTATGCGCGCGCACAGGCTGCACCTACATATGTCAGCGCTTGCTCATTCACTCGCAAGTTGTTGCTGTCAGCGACAGGAGACACCAGAGATAGGAGACACGCGCGATAACGGAACAGACTACACGGAAAGTAGCGAACGATCTGATAATATATGAAACGTAGCAAGAAGAGAACGTTATAATAACCAAATCGAACTGGAGTGAATCGGAAAGAGTTGACGCTTCCACGCCGCCAATATTCCAGCCTGGACAAACTTTAATTGTCCCCTCTTAATGTCAATTAACCTCGTTTACGTAGGTGGCCCTTCCCGAAGCCTGACTCACCGTATTTGTCAAACAATGATAGGAGAACGATCCCGTCCTACGATTAGGAATGCGTCGTGCGTTGCTTTCCTAGCACACCTACTTCAGGCTTCACGCTGAAATTTACTGGAAGCTACGAAACCCAAAGTAACGGCATAAAATAAAAAAAGAAAACACTTTATACAATCGACGCGTTGTCACTCGCTGTCGCCATCTTCCTACGGGACGGCGCCGGCGTCGCCTATTTCCTCGCGTTGTGCGTTTCCGACGTATGGCGTCGCCCTTGTACCTCGGACGCCCATGTCGTTGAGCGAACAACCGCCAGATCGCTCTGCAGTCGCGTCTCTGTACTCCCGCTAAGCTCCGTCCCTTCTCGAAAGGTAAGCAACTCAGGATTTATATTACTTCATTATATCGACTTGCGACTGTCTACAACTTATTACTTCTTATCATTTTCATATAATTACCTAACGAACGACCTAAACATTCCTTAACCTTGTAACTGACTTCGAAGTATCGTCAATATAGCGATTATTATACCAGAATCGTTTCTATACTGATTTAAATTAACAAAGTTACCAACCGGGAACGACTAGTATTAGAATGACGGATAGCCTAGTCCGCCTTGTTTTCGCACATGTTTACGCAAGCACAAAACCAAGGATCAGTTTCACATTATCAAAGATTAGCGCGACGTCCACGCTATAAATAAACAGATGTAAAACAACATAATAATTAAGACTCTACTGATTGTACGTGAAAGAGGGCGATAATTTAGCTGTGCTCGCATTATACGTTGCTGAAAGATTAAACTTGAAATGGCTTAAACAGCTGTACTTCATGCAGATTCTTTGTCACTGGCAATAAGAAACGATTGTTCGACTTTTTAACCGGTCTAACTGGTCTCCTGGATAAGAGAGCAGTGCTTGTAATGGTGGTCTTTGCCCTGTAAGCGAATAATAATTTTTTTTTTTCATTTACACTGCGTGTTACCTTCTTTCCTATCGCGTATGAAGTAGATCTTGTGGCATGCCACAGAAAAATAATCCATTTACACGTGAAGACGTACGTTACTAGTGATAAACCAGCAAGACCCCCAGCCGATTTTTCGAGAATTATACTTTGTTCGATTAATAGAGGAAAAAACGTTATCCCGTAGGTGGGAAAAGTCTAATGCAGTATTTCATGGTTATAAAGATTATCGACGCTAATCAGTTATCGTAAATGATAAACGCAGGAGAATATGCAAATTCTCTCTTTGCGGACTTAGTAATTGCGACACGTAACGCGCATGCGAAACTCTTGCAGATCAAGGTATACTTTATTTTGCATAGCATACCGAAGCCGCATATTTGCATGTTAATATCGGACATGTGGGCATCGCGCGGAGGATTTGTCGTGAAAATACGTGCGTAATGGCAGCCTGTTGTATCGTAACACTACCTCATTAAGGTCATTGATCAGTGGCTAACCGAGAAAAACTATTCGTGTCTTTTCCTTTCCTCCGGCAGTTCAGCCCACAGCTTCGATGCTACAAATCTTTATCAAGCGGAAAAGACACCTGAGAGATATACAAACCTCTATGAAGTCATATTAAAGACATTATCAAATCTATGTTATATTAGAATAAACATTCTGCATCGCGTGCCCAGTACGTAGCTGTACTAACTAAAACAGTGAACGCTTCGTTAAAATATTTTTACAGATATTTTGTTCCCGAACAGTCATCGGTTGTAGGAATGTTTGAGTTGTTTAAGACAAAAATTTTAAACAATGACGATCCAAGTACGTTACGCACTATTGGACAATTCAATAACAAGGTCTCATAATTCTGTCACACACACACACACACGTAGCCATATATAATTCGATTTTCCACGGTTCTACATTACCGACACTTTCTTCAAATATATCAATTTCGGTTACGAAACTCCATGTTGGCGTGCATAATTAGATATAGGAAATATTAAAAGATGCTAAGTCAAATGGTACGCATATGTTCAAATTCTCAAAACATCTATACCTACCAGGATTTTATTTATTTAAAGATTCTCGTTTGCGAAAACGTATCTAGATAATGAGTTGCGCATGAGCTTTGTATGTAGATACACGCTCGGCTTAGGTAGTGGCGGAATGACGAATCAAAATATTTACACCCTAGAGTCGTGTTATAAAACTGTCGAGGGTTGCGTGACCAGTTCATTCATTGAATATCTTTTTTTTTACATTTTGCTTTTTTTTCATCTTCTCCCGTCAGTCGCAACTGAAGGTGTAAACGTTAAGTTTGCATATAGTTGAATTTTTCATGAATGAGAAGGACTCAGTCGGTAATTTTGATTTTTACCATTCGAGTACAGAGGAAGAAGCAAATGTCTTGATGTTGCGTCCAAATGAACGTAACTGTGGGTGACGTGGAATTTTTATCTGAATGTAAATACATAAAATTAGATATGAACAAAAAAACATGCTTCGTCTCGCTATTGAACTCTTCTATGAATTTCCGGCGATGAGTTTTTAATGTAATTTCTTTCATAATTCTGACAAAGTTTTTTTTTTTTCCATGAGAAAAATAAGCAATGACGATATTTCGATATTGGATAATATTTGGCGTTACTGTGGGCGATTATAAGAGAATTATAGATTAGAAGATGGACATTGTTATTATTTGTTGTTGATTAAAACAGTATCCTTATCAGTATACCAACATTCTTCTCTATCTGAGAATTCGTGATATTGTGATGAAGTGCCAAAGGCAAATGCTGTTATCACAGCTGTATCGTATAACAGATAAAAGTGGTGCATGATGTATGAGAATTTTCAAAAAAATAAAAAACAATATTTTAAGCCTGATTGGCACAGTTTTAGCAACCGCGATAATGATAATTGATAAGCAGCGGTTGTTACAGGTGCAAAACTAAAATTTATCTATAATAAACAATTGAATTAAATCGTAGTTAGATCTTTGCAGGTGTTCGATATTTGATACATCGTTTAAAAAAATATTATTTCATAAGAGAATTGCAAACGATTTTTATCAGCCCACTTGATTCGCGAGTTAATAAACTATGGTAACAGCGGTTAATCGATACACGGTAAAATAAAATTATTCATCGCAATTTACCTTACATGGCAGATATACATATTTTACATTAAAAATTTTCTCGTCGCGCATGAAGATATCATAATTTCGCATTTCGTATTCCCGAGTCTGATGAAAACTGGTTGTAACGTACGTAATATACATATATATTGCCAGACGGTAGAAATAATAAAAAACAGCACATTTAATGACCCTAAGGAGATATAAATAATCTAATCTGAATGGTCCTAATCGTACGATGTCGCCGGTTCGCATAAACCGCGTCTTCTGCGCCTCTCAAAAATTCCTCGCTTTTAATCGCGTAGATTTTCGCGAGGAACTCAGCTCACTGCGCGTACAAGTACAAGCACGGTTCATGGTGCGACAGACGTGCAGCCCGTATGTCGTATGGAAGGGACATGCCGAAAATAGCACTCCTTTGTTAGAAGCACCTACCGTAAATTCCTATAAAATAAAATTTACGAATAGCATATACATATATATATCCATGTATATATTTCAAGCGTATACAATATCGCATACGGAATTCTCTGGTCGCCCATTGGTCAACATCCACGATCGTCCATTCCTATTTGATTCTGTATATCTCTTACACATATTATACTCCGCTCTCCGTCTATCCGACAGTCGTGCAATAAGTGGCACGAAAGCAACTCCAACGTATATAGAATCGAGAAGAAGCGAGTCACCCGAAGTCAAACGGCGAGGCACGCATAATCTTTGTTAGGATCAGCGGCGGTTTCTTTGCGTCCATCTCAAGCGAAGAAGAGTCTCAGCCTCTGAACAGGAAGGGCAGGCCGGCGTTGGCTCCGGAAGGTCCGGCGGCCATTATCGACGCCAGGCGTCTTTCGCAAATCGTCAAGGCGCACGAGACTCGATGGTAGCCTCCGAGTGAGGACAATGCGCCTCTCTAATGCTCGATTCAAAATATTAATCCATATCGTGAAAGGAGGCGCTACTCGGCCAAGTCCAGCCAAGTCGAACTCGGTGCGTGCGAACGATAAGTGCTGGTGGCTCTCTTGGCCCAGCCAGTGTGCTTGCTCTCTCTCGCTCTCTCTCTCTCTCTTTCTCTCTGTTTCTTGCTGAAAGAGTGCCCGTAGTCTCCAATGATACGTGTACATCTACATACATGGAATTTCATGTGAGCGTGTGCGCGCTTGCGTATCCGTATGCGTGTCGCTGCTCGCGAGTCGTGCAGTTTACGCAGGCTATTTTGACGGGAAGGTCACATGACTAGACGCTCAGCCGACCGCCGACCGACGCTCACTCCTCTCTCTCTCTCTCTCTCTCTCGTCTTCTTTCTCTAATACACGCTGCCGGAGAAACTCACACTACTGCGCACGAGATACGTGTGAATTCTATCGCAGTCTCGCGCGAGCGTGCATACGAGAAGGACGCCAGAGGCTTTGGTGCGAATGTGTGAGCATCGGAGTGTCGAGGGTGAGGGAGCGAGAAAGAAGACAAGCAAAGATGGTCGTCGCGGTGTAGTAGCGGGGAGGTTTCGGGTTCTGGTGGTTCACGGGGGCTGGTGCGAGGGACTCGACCGAGGGAGGGAGACATACAGACAGACAGACAGACGAAGTCTCTACGGGGGCACGTAGAGTTTACGGAGATTCCTCTTTAGCAGAAGAGACGCACACAAGCGTAAGGGGACGCATACCAGTGCGCTAAGGCCACTAACACTGTTACTGGGTACAGACGCACTGACACATACGACGCTCAGCGTCGCGCTCTACCATTTGGAGAGGGAGGCTCCGCGTGAGAGGGATAGAATGATAGAGAAGAGAGATGTGAGTGGAGAAAGGAAGAGAGTATAGAGTCGGTGCTTCAGTGAGAGAAGGAGGCGGCGAGGGTAAAAAGGATAGGACGAGAGTGCGAGAAAGAGATGGAGTGGCGCACTTGAGGGCTCGCCTCGTGTTTACGTGCACACACGTTCGCGCGCAGGTAGCTACATGGACAGTCTGACTTTCGTCGTGGTTCGGTGGAGGCGACACACGCGCTATATATGCTATATACGACATACACAGAGAACCCGACGCCGCGACGGCGTATCAGGGGCTCCGCTGCGTTAGCATTGTGTACCGTGCGTCAGGCTGGACGGTTCACTTCGCTTTACTTCACTTTTCGCTGCGAGAAATATGCGTAGCTTCGCGAGTGGTGCTTCAGTGTGCCGTGCGTGCTCGATCGATACGCCATTACGGCGCGGCGTGCCAAGTAAATCGGCCTGACGATGCCCGCGAAGACGGCGATATCTGTCAAGTGAGGTGTAATCTGCTCTGCCGTTGCTGTTGCTGCTGTTGCTAGATACTAAGGAAGACACAACCATGTATAACCGCAGTCACTGCGCGGGTTAGACCATCGGACAGCCTCTCTTCGAAACTGATTCCAAAGGGACAGACATGTGTCCTTACGCTGATAATCGCCACTGTTCGCACTACACGCCAGGTTCGAGGCCCAGCGGCGCCCAGGCCACCGACCCGTATCCCTAACCGAACCTCCTCTCCTACGCCTTCTGCGAGACATAGAGACCTTGCCGACGTAATCGTGGAGATCGCGACGCGCGACACCACGACGCCGACGTCCAGTTTCACGTTGTTCTCTCGAGTCTGACTTCCTGGCTATCTCACGTTGGTTAACGTTCTATCTCGTTCTCGCGTTATTATCCTCTTCTGCGGGACGGGGACACTATTGCTACAGTGTGTGCGAGGGTAGTGTGGTGTGTGCGCGCGCGCGCGTGTGTGTATGTACATGTATATATATATATGCGTGCGCGCATTATCTTACGCGGACACGATGTTACGGTGGATCATGGATCGTGGCTAGAACAAGAGCACGTCGACCAGGAAGATGGGAATACGCGCGACGCTCTGGATCCGAGATATATCTCTGCTCTCAGCATGTGTCTAGCCCGTGCAGAGAGTCGGCTCCACGCTCACGTTCTGTGGATTCTTCCTTTTCATAAGATGGATCAGTTGTATCTTGGCTTAAATGGCCTAGCAACCTTTGGTGATTATCAATGTGATTCTGCATACCAGTGCATTAAGCCCAGTGTGTGTCAGTGTCCATAAGATACTCCAGTGATATTCAGTGAACTCACGTACAATATAAGTGTACCTTATAGTAGGATCATAATAGGACTGACTTGTCTAACTAATCATAGAGCTAAATAATGGAGACACTATTGCTTGGTAATACAAGCAGTCAGTCGTACAGTCCCCAACTGAAAACTGTCCTGAAGACGTATCAGTTATCAGCAGTGAAGAGCCTGCAGGGACCGAGCTCGGCCCTTCTGGGCATGGACTGTAAAGGACTGCTTCAGGAACAGGCACCATTTCGATTCTCTCCCTTAAACCGTCCTGCTAATTGTGGGATTGATTCTGGTCTGGATCATTTATCGATACCATCCAAGGATATTGAAAAGTGTGAAGAACCATCTAGGATTACTGTGCCACCTTGCAGGGATCGCAGGGTTGATCATGCTTTGGATGACTCTGATGAAGATCCACAACCTGAACGACTGAAGGCCACTAGTGACAAGCGAGAGTTAGAGTTTCAAATACCCATTCTAACTGCACCGGATCAGAGTTGCTCTGAAAGATGCGAAGCTACTCTCGAAGGAGAGAGGATATCTTGCTTTGTTGTTGGTGGAGAGCGTAGGCTGTGTCTCCCTCAAATACTCAACACAGTTTTACAGGACTTTTCTCTACAGCAGATTAATCAAGTATGCGATGAGCTGCAGATATACTGCTCAAGATGTACCAGAGATCAGCTCGAAGAGCTGAAACTATCTGGAATCCTTCCTCGGAATGCACCTTCTTGTGGACTTATCACACAGACTGATGCAGAACGACTTGTAAGTGCACTCTTACTTAGGACAGAGCCCTGTGAACCAGCACCTGTCAGAGATCAGGAACGAATAGATGATCAAAAGTCTTGTGCCAAGAAAGAGGAAGCAGAAGAATCCGTGGCACGTTTTAAGGTGTACCATGAGTGCTTTGGTAAGTGCAAGGGCATTTTCGACGCAGACCTCTTCAGTTCAGAGGATTCAGCCTGCATCGAGTGCCTCGAGTGTGGATATCAGTTTTCACCACAGCGATTTGTTCGTCATGCTCATCGCCCTTTGGAAAATCGAACCTGCCACTGGGGATTCGATTCTGCCAATTGGCGGTCGTACCTTCTATTGTCCAGGGATCAGAAGCATCACAACAAGGTCGACGCCCTTTTTCGAGATTTAAAAGAACGGCACCTCGTGACAAATCCTAAGAGGAAACCAGAGGTATTCATTTTTGGATCGTGAATTAAATCTCAGAAACACATTTTTCGGATATACCATAATATATTTTTTGTCACTTGACGAAATCTGTAATATTTCTCAGTAAAATAGGAATCGATATCTTGATTAAAAGTTGTCTTACAGTCAGGTCAAGATTGCGACGCATATAGTTTTTTTCGAAACATTTTTTAAAGTCAGATAAAAACTCCGAAATTTTTGTTTGACTGTTAAAAGCTTATCAAATAATAATTCACGTCGTGTCACGATCAGAATCTGCTGGTAGCTTTATATAGATAACTTGATAACGGCTTTCGAGCCATTTGCCACGCTTCAAGATGCTCATCATTGCAAAACATTTTCCATTCGCCCAATTAGGAGAAAATTCAAGGTTGACATTTTTTTCTAATGAATAGAATGAAATTGAATTCATTTCTCGTTGCATCTTCTAAGGAAGCAATGCCTCTGTTATAGCTGCGACATGAGCCGGAAAAGATAATAAAACGTGCGAAGAAGGAAATAGACAGGGACGACTGCTCTGGCGTTTACAATGGAAACGGATTGGGAATGTATCATCCAGTATCAGCAGCAGCAGCAGCCAGTGCCACCGACCCATACTTACAAATGCAATGGGCAGTCTTTGAATTGGCAGCAAGAGGCGCATCAGCATTCAGACCCTGGAGTGCGGCAGGAACTTGCAAACACAGGGACAGGTAACTATTGAACAACGACGAAGAGGCATATTGAATAGTTCAAAGGAAAAACCCGAAGAATCCTAAGTGAACAAATACCTTCCCCTATTCTAATCCCGAAGTGCAACACCACCTCCAGAGAAACCTCAAGAATCCTCAATGAAAAGAAGGTCTTACCTGATCCCAATTCTTAGACGCATCGCAATTTTCCTGTGTGCAGCTCGCCGCTGATGCCTGCATATCTCAGTCGAGGACCGCCAGTGCTCCAGCATCCGGAACGTGTTGTGCCTCTCTCCGAATGCGAGCGTTTCGAGCCGCATTTTCAGCCGAACGTCGCCCTGGCGCCGATACCTCCGCCGACGATGCCGCCAATAGCGCCACCGTTGGTGCACCAGCATAGTAGACGGCATCATCACGAGCGTCGTCGTCACGGTCATCGTCCACCGAGTCCAGACGAGAAGCTCGAGTCGCTTCCCGTTACAATAAAGCTTGAGAAACCATCGTCTCCGGCACCTGGTGGCACTTCCGGTTCCTACGGCGAGGAAGAGGACTCCCTGGTGGCAGGACAGGAAACGAAAGAGGACGAAGAACCCGAGGAAGAGGAGAGTAGCGCGGCTGTGACATCCTCTACGGTAACGGTGGAACCTGCAGCGCCAGAAGTGGGTACGTCTTCGCCGGAAAGTGATTCTGATTCGGAAGGGACTGCTGCGATAGACTTAGAGGAACGGCTGATGGCCCTTGACGTGCCCCAGGACGTCCTGGCATTGGCAAGACAAGTAGCTACGGAAAACGCTCGTCTACGTCGTCATCGGCGTTCTGACGCCCGTGAGATCTCCAGGTTACGAAGTCAGTTGCAAATGCAACAGATTCAGGAATCCGAGGAGGCCGAGGAAGGTAAGAAGGACGCGCGAAACTCCAGTGTCGCGGACAGTACCGAAGGTAGCGAAGACACCGAGGTGGTGGTGTCCGGTGCCAGTTCGCAGGATAAAGGAATCGAACAGCACGAGGATAATCATAAGGATGAGAGAGAATCTGTGGAGGGTGACGCCACGGTGGCTGGTAAAGATTAGAGTTATTTTTAATTATTTAACGAATTATAATTAGAGACAAGAATACAAATGCTCAGCAACCATCGCGTCGCTCGTACATTCGGCCAGTGCGGGTGCGCACCGAATTTACCAGTAGGTAGAAAAACTATTCTAACGATTCTAAAGAAAAATGAATGAAAAATTGTCTTTGTTAATTGTGATATACGAAGAGCCTTTAACGTTATTACAAATGAGGATGAAGGAGTTAAGTATGAAGAGGACACGAGAAAATGTGATTTCATTTGGATTTCTTATTGTAAATTAAAACTTTATTGACGGTTTCGTTTACGACCGAATGTAGATACTGTATTATACGGAAGAAAGTAAATAGGTTTAATTAAGGAAGAATAAGAAGAAGCGGAAAAGCATAGGATACAAAGGAAACAATAAGAAATTGAGCCAAGCACGTGAAACCGTAAGGGCCAATGATAATCGATCGATAACGATTAAAGGACACTGAACGTTTTCTTTGTGTACGTTAAAATATGCACATGACGCAAAATCGAAATCAGACTAAAGGTGGAGATCTTTTCTTTTTTACAGTCTCACACATTTTTCATTCAAAGTAGGACGGTGTAAATTAGGTTGCTTTCCATTAACTCTCCCTGTAATCATTAAAAGCGCATAATGTAAATACATTCTCTTGTCGTAGGTATATATATTATATATACAAATATATATATATATATATATATATATATTATATGTTATCAATAATACATAATAATATGCGAATTATTGCGAAAAGTACAAAAACCCTAGGTGCTATGTTGTTACGCTAGGTATATCGTGAGCATGAACGAAAATCTCGCGATAATTCTCGTTAATGCCGAAAGCATTGAAGAGAGCGTCGGTATGCTCCGCGTCCTCGTTATTATTTTCTCATTCTCATTATTATTTTTCATTCTTTATCCATCTTTTCGTCACCCTCTCGTTATCCGTCGCTTCTCTTTTCTAGTTCAATTTATCGTAAGCCCGTATCTTCCCCGATCTACTTCACTCTCGACAAATTAGACTTTGTGCTTCACCGTCGCAGTAACGAAAGGAACGTCGCACGCGCACGTGACGGCAATTTTCATCGCGCGACAACATTTGTGCAAGCGGACGTAAAATGTTCTCCCTTGGACAAAAACGCGCGAGCGTTGTTTTGCGTAAAGCCCGATTTAAAAAAATTGCACGGAGAGAAATTGAAGACTAAATAATTTAAAAAAATAATAATAATATACATGGCCATCATTGAGTTTTATCAGCTCTTCACGTATCAATCGTTTTATTAGCACGAGCCATAATAACGTTCTTCGTTGACGATAAACGACCGCGAATCCCGATAACTAGTTTATTTCGAGTGCAATCGATGGATCCTGGCATAATTGCAATTATTGATTTTTCATTCTGATGCATAATTTTCATCCGTAATCTCGGTATCTCCTTTATTCCCTTCATTTACTTATTCATATACCACCATTTTACTTGTTCCAGTTCCTTTCCTCCCCCCCCCCCCCCCCCCC